GTAAGCAAAAGTTCAACACGCAAAGACACGTGGACGGTCTAAAACAGACAGATCAAGAGCGTGGGAGTAGCTCAACAGCGTGGGATGAGCACGTTCAGAATCCGGCAAGATGTTTGTAGACCGATTGTACAATAATTACCAATCGATGTTTGTAACTATATAAACTCGTATTGTGTTACAAGATAATAAGAAAGAAAGAGTTGAGTAAAATATGATTTCTTGTATCGATTCTTCCATTAGCCTTTGTATGGAGTACATGGGGGAGTACTTATAGCGTGACAAGTTAGATCGTGACCCTTGGTTCGGGGTACACGTGGCCTCATCCAGACAATCTACATGTGGCATGAGCCGCACCTAGCCTACTATACATTTATTGATTGGCAAAGTCGCCTCTACGAATGACAAGACTTAACATTTACACTCATGACAAACGTCCTATCAATTATTCAAGTAAGATCTTTTGTGCAGAGAATCTCTTCGGAGAAGTGTCTATGGAAGATGCTGCTTTGTGATTCGGAGGTTGCTACCTCGGCTATAGAGCTTCGGCCAACAGGGCCTCGTCCACTTTCAAAGGGCCTTAGCATATGGAGCTTCAGATGCTCTTTGAGAGGCAATGATAGATGGGCCCTGGTATATATAGGCTTATGTTTCTATGGACCTCGATTTTGTGGGCCTCGAATATGCAAATCACCTCGGCTTCAGTGCCACGTGGTTCGGCATGAGTTGGTTGTGGGCCCCGATAGGTTGTTCGAGTGTGTAAACACGTAACAATATGTATTATTTTATTTATTTAATGATCTTAGAATAATTGAAATAATATTAAAGGCTGCATTATGATCACATATGGCGAAAGGCACATAGGACTCACCAAGGACTTCATTGAAGAACATTCCATAGCAAACTTAATCAACCATTGATGTCGACAAGTTAGATGTCATATGTATGCAACGTATTATTATTGATGTGTATATAATTTGTCTCGATGCTTTTAAAATAAACCGTATGTCCAACTTTTTACGATCAATTTTATTACTTTATTATTATACGTACATTTCATGACATAAATAATTATTTACAATATGATGTAATATAGAGGTTCATATGTATTAGAGTTGTGTTTTATTTGGTTTAGTACTTCATGCTCGCTAACGAAATGTTGGCACAATAACATTATATTTGGCACATTATACTATACAAGTCATGGACGTTTAATATTAAGGTAGATTATTATTATTATAATGTGTTTTTGCACTACCATATCAAAAGAATGTATAAGTATATAAGAATCAATTATTAATTATATATATATGAGTTAATTGTTTTAATGGTTATTGAACTTACGTCTATATTTTCAATTGCTTACTAAAATTTAAAATGTCGAGTTTTAGTCATTAAACTTTGAAAAACGTTGTACATTATTCACTGATATACATCTGTTAAAACCTTTAACGGAATTGGTGACATGGCTGATGGAATGCACATGTGGCGTCTCGTTGCGCCATTAATCTTTGAGATGATCGAATTTTTGTTATTAAATTTCGGAAAGCGTCTTCAATTGCTCACTAAAATTTGAAAAATGTCATTGGTTACTCAATAAATTTTGAAAAAATCTCGTATTCGTCATTGAACTTTGAGATAGTTGAATTTTTGTCACTAAACTTTGAAAAATGTCTTTGGTTACTCAATAAATTTTGAAAAACGTCTTATATTCCTCATTGAACTTTGAGGCGGTTAAATTTTGGCCACTAAACTTTGAGATGTGTACTAACCTTTAAAAAACATCTTCTATTTCTCACGATACTTTTGGATTTAATTAAATTTCCTTATTAAAATGTAAACTTAATTTAATTCTAACTATTGTGTGTTTCTTGTAAAATTCAAATATTAAAAATTAGATTTAATTTATTTTTAATAACAAATTTATTGTGTATTTCTTTGCAATTAGTAGTCACTTTCTTTGCACAACTTTGTAAGCATTGTTTATCATAATATTTGAATTTTACAACGAAATATACAATAAATTTTTTATTAAAATTAAATTAAATATAATTTTTATTATTTGAAGATTACCACAGAACACACAATAAGCCCTTATTTGATGGGATTAAAATAAGATTTTTAGCAGATTTTAATAAAAGTTAATGAAATGTATAGTTGAAAAGTTGTGAGTCACATAAAATATGTGGTTAAAATTAATAGTTAACTTTGAGTTTGATAAAATTCTAAATTTTGGTTTTTACGAAACATAGCCCCCATTATTTGAAATTTTAGTGGTTGAAATGGTGTTTTTCTAAAAATTGTGCGGTTAAAAAAGAAGAAAAAGTTTTGAGATTATGCGTAATATTATTTTATTGAGAATATATGATTAATAAAAAGATAGAGAAAAATGAAGTATAATTTTTAATGGAGATCAAACAAGGTTTATCCAAATTTTAACAATGAATTTTAATTAAATTCAAATTCGTTGTGAGCAATAGAATATTTTTTCAAAGTGTAGTGGTCAAAATTTGACTGTATCAAAATTTAGTATGAAAATTCGACCACCTAAATATTCCGTGAGCGATAAAAGACATTTTTCAAAGTTTAGTGGCCAAAATTCGATCATCTCAAAGTTTAGTTATCAAAATTCGATCACCTTAAAGCTTAGTAAGCAGTCAAAAACGTTTTTCAAAGTTTAATAATCAATATTCAACTATCTCAAAGTTTAACCTTGTGATAGAGTACCACATGTGTATTCCGTCAGCCACATCACTAATTCCTTTAAATGTTTTAAACGGATGCTATATTAATGAGTACCATCCAACGTTTTTAAAAGTTTAGTAATCAAAACTAAACATTTTAAACTTTAATGAATAATTTACGACAAAGACATAAATTGTGACCAATGGAACAATTTTATACATATATATATACACACACACGGTGGCAAAAAATATATACAAAAGAGAAAAGTGGAAATTTTCTAAAAACTCTTCATAAAAGCCTAAAGCCCTACCCAAGACAACGGCACACAGAAAATGATCTTTTTTTATGTGTGAACAAGGTTCAATAGCACGTAAAAAAATAATAATAATAAATAAATAAATGTGTTAGCCTCATTAATCCTGTATAAACTCATATACCTACCAGGATTAATTTAATCTGGTCCATTGAGCACAATATTAGCTGTCCAGAATAATTTAATTTTGATATTAACCGTTGAATTAGTCTAAATTTATTTCGTCAAAGACTAATTTTATGCAGCAAACAGACCATAAATGAATAATTTCAATTAAACATTTTTTTTCCAGCTCTTTTATGAATGAAATTAAATCTTTAACTGAATTTGTTACACTTGAATGAAAGCAAGTCTGGCTACCACAAAATTTGATTTCACAAGATATTGGAGCAATTGAAGGGCCATTTTTGTTGGGAGACCTGAGAACAGACCAAATACAGACAACTGATGTCAATATCATCAAAAAGCATGCTTTCACTTTAACCTACTTGAAACTGTCAATGTTCTTGCAAGTGGTCTTTTTAATATTCCTTTTTCTTTTTATCTATAATTTTTGTGTCTATGTTGAATTTAGTTTCTATTGACTTCCGAATTTGGTTTGGACCAACGCATTAGCAGATCACTTATCATCTCTATATATTTGCACAAACAAGTTGGAGGCATGATTCTCCAAGCAAGGTGGGAAGACCGATATCCTACATGTTTCGATGGTCAATTCAATAAATAGACAACGATTTACCGTGGAAGAAACACGAAAAGAGAAGATATGCGGGAGTCAGGCTTATATTTCTAGATTGAGATTACCGAGTTGTCAATTACTTTCAAATGACACCAAATATGAATATTTATGGGCAAAAGAAAATAGTTAAGACTTTGTGAATGCTTGACACGTGACTTTATCTTAACAATTCACGAGTCAAGCTCAATGATGTCATATTTTAGCCATAATAGACTTGTAACATTCCATACAATACCATATGCAGGAAAGAGGGGATTTGACTCTCAAGCGCCCTTGTAGAGGCACCTCGTCAATCAAAATGTATGAGTTGTTGCATCAGATTATAGCTTGCACAAGGCATCAACATTCTCAAAATTAGGACGCTTTTGTTGTGTGACTAAAAGTTGCATCTTCTTTGATAGCCTTGAAGAAGGGATGTAGCAAAGTCTATACTGAGTTATGCCACCTTGGAGGCTATTTTCGATGAGGTTTGAGCTATGCTCTCATCACCTTGAATGTAATGGTGGACGAGTGGTCTCATCACCTCAGATGTAAAGGTGGGCAAGGCAATGTCATGTTACATCATCGCCTCACACACAAAGATGAGAGAGATGATTCTCAAATCGCTACTTATCTCAATAAAACAGTGCTTGCTTGACTTTTTACGTAGATGATTGCTATATAACTTGTTACGTGGGTAAAAAATGTAATGATTTCCTTACTCAAAAGTTATTACCAATTCTGATTGTAAAATATGAAAACAAACGTGAAAGTGAATTTAATTTTTTCAACTCTTTCTATTGTTTAGTTATAACAATATTTCAACATCGTAAAAAGATTTAAAGATGACATCAACACATACATAGACATCTATGAGTCATATCACATAATACAGAGCTCTTTTATCATTGTACTGAGGGGAAAAATAGAAATTATAGAAAGCACCACAAATTACAGTAGTAGTGAAAAAGAATCCTTCTTTGGCCCTCATCAAAAGTTGAGAGAAGGAAAAAGCCTCCCTCACGATGCCCAGGGTAGGAGCGGTGAGAGACCCTCAAGATTGGCGTTCAACCTTTTATTTTTTTGTTAGAAGGGAGAAGCCTCCAAAAACTATCACCAAAAAGAAAAGAGATTAAACAGATTGAAAGGTCAAAACTGCCCCCAAACTTTTATACGTAGAAGGTCCAAATTAAAGCAAAAAAGGCTGGTATTCATGAACCCGTCCCCATCACGCGCTATGCAGCAGGAGTCATTGGATTGGAAACCACGACAGGACGTCGCCGGTCACACGCCGGTGCGTGAGCACACGCGCTCATCGGAAACCAGCGGCATCCGGCAGAGAGGGCAGTTGAAGTTGAGGTGGTCGAGCCATCCATCGAAGCATTCCTTGTGGAAGACGTGGCCGCAGGCTAACTTTCGCACGTGGTCTCCTTCACCCAGCTGGTTCAAGCACACCACGCAATTCAAATCGGCTCTGGCACAGCCATTGGATTGATTTGGATACGAAAGCACACGGTTCAGATTCAATTGCTCGCAGAGGACACTAAGGCCGGCCAGACCAGACCCAATGACGTCGTAGAAAGAATTCTCAAATTGCGCCCGATCCCGGTCGGACCGGGGTAAAATGAACCCCAGGTTGTGCAATATAGTGAACAAAAGAGAATGGAGATAACGTGCACTTTTTCCGATGAGCACAACGAGGAGTATTAGGATTGATTCCGACGACACGTCGGAAAGCTGGCTCTGTAAACCCATATCTTGAAAAAATTTCAATGTTTCATGCAAAATAGTGAAGACTGATGTGTATGTATATATAGAATATCGATATACATGAACTC